AAAGAGGGGGGGGGGGGGGGGGGGGGGTGTGGGGTGTGGGGGAGGATGGGAGGGAGGGAGGGAAGAAGGGAGGAGAAAAGGAGAGAGAAAAAGGGAAAAAGATAAATCAGTAGAAGGCAAAACAACCAGGCAGCACCATGTTTCTCCATGAGCAAGCAAGCGGCATAGCAGACTGAACTACCAAATAAAAGGCGCGGGAACAGCTTTCCAGGGAGCACTATTTGCCTTCCACTACAGCGGCACAGGGACCGGCGGGACAGCCGCTCTGGGCACCGGCATCAGTACCACGCCACGGGAAAGCTTCGGGCTGGGCCAGGAGCGAGGCTCTCGGGGAAGCAGCACTGCTAGCTCCATGAGGATCACACGTAGAAGCCATGTTAATAGTCACCGTCCGGAGCGGATGGCAGGGCCGTGGTGACACCCCAGTCGCGGGCCCCGGCGCCGCCCGGGCATGCAGAGCGCGCCGCATGCCGGCCCGGCCGCTCCGCGCCACCAAGCCATGCCAACGCCCCAGCGCCGGCACCCGCCAGGGACACGAGGGACACGAGGGACACGGGGGGACGGGAGGGCAGGGCAGGGCACGCAAGGGGCCGGCGGGGCGCGGGGGCGGCTGCGGGGAGGGTGCCCAGCCTGGCCCGGCCGCCCACACGCCCTTGGCCGGGGACACGGGGAGGGAAACCGGGATGTTCCATTTCTACACGGTAACCCCAAACTCGACTCTACGATACAGCTACATGCCAAGCTAAAAGGTGAAAGGTCATAGTACCAGGTCAAAGGTTGCCTCGAGGGGTCGCTTCAGTGATTTGACAGCCGACTGAGTCTTAATTAGCAGGCAGCGAGCACATGATGGCAATGGCCAGTGGGGTCAAGCGCATTAACATAAACAGCAAGCAGAGGTGCGTCATGGGGGCAGCAGTGCATTTGGGGAGGTGAGAAAAAACAAATAAAAACAAATCACCGGATGCCGTGTACAACGGTAACAAGACTAGGCATGCACGGGGCCCGCGGGGCAGGGCAGCGGGCAGCGGCGGTGCCCACGGCCGGCCCTGCCACGGTTCCCAGGCCGGGCGGGCTGCGGGGCTCACGGCCACGCCGGGCTGGGCTCCCCGCCCGTGCCGGACCCCGCCGGGAGCCCGCGGCCACCGCCTCGCCCCGCCGCCCCCACTGTGCTCCGCTTCCCACACCCACGGGCTCAGCACAGGCGGGACCCTCTGCCACCACAGCCCCCCGGTGCTGCCCTCGCCTCGCCAGCAAAGCAGCTCCTCGCTGGGCCCAGAGCCGCCTGCCACGGCTGCGGGCCTGCGCTAGCGCCCGGGACAGCCACCGCCAGCCCTCGGGACACGGGACAGCGCTGACACGGTCAGATCCACTTCCAAATACACCTCTACAAACACGGACTTACAGAAACTAAACACGGATTTCTCTAGCTGTGCGGCTGGATACGTTCACATCTGCCCACACACGGACATACGGCCAACCAGAGACACAAGCAGCCCACACGCACACACACGTACGCACGCACAGAGGCACACGCGGGTACTCCGTACATCAGCAGGCACAATCAGTCAAACACCTCAGTGCTCTGCAACTACTTCAGAGCAGATCTGGCACCGCATGCTGAGAAAGCTCAGAGCACTGTGTCGTGTCCCCAGGCACACGCACCCTCCTTAGCAAGGACAAACACACATCCACCATTGCCTCTCCTCAATGTACATCTACGTCCAGAAGTGTTCCCACACTCACCATGGCAGCTGCAGTCGCTGCTGCTTGGGCAGCTGCAGCTTGGTTAACCTGGTACTGGGCAGCCTTGATCTTGGCTTGCAGGTGTGCAGGAGGGTGAAAATATTTGCACTTTTCCCGGGAGCACCTCCCTTTGATGTAATCCATGCAGACGGTGACCGTGTTGTCGTTGGTGTCGATCATGGCGCTGTCGGCGGGGTGAGCGAACCGGCAGTCGTTCTCTCCCCTGTTGCAGTTCCCACGCTGGTACTCTCGACACACCTGTGACACCAGGAAAAGAAAGCTACTTAGTTATGGTCATGGGTGTCGCAGGCTTGGAGCAGAGACAAGCTTTCTGAAAGCCTGTGAGAGCACCACGAGGAAGGGGGCCTGGCCCAGGCACTTCAGTGGGATGGAGGGCTCAGGGACCTGGCAGCAGACACTGGCTTCTCCAGAGCCACTTCTGATGTCAAGGAGCATGAAACCCCACCGTGATCAGAGCCAAGCACGCAGCAGCTGTCATTGTGGCTCCCCCTTAGCTGCCCCGGGGCTGCTTCTGTCTCCTCGAGTGTGCCGTGGCCACTCTCGGGCACCACCCAAGCACCCCAAGGCGCTCGACCATGCCCTGCTGTGACCTGGCTGTGCTTGATGTGCTCATTCGGGTGAGTGGACGGTGTGTGGCCGCCCCCAGGGAGCCCCCCAGGTGGACACTGTGTCCATGTGCCCCCCACGATCCCGGTGCCTGCCAGGAGACATCGACCCCCGGCCCAGGGTGGGGGCCCAGCCCCTGCGCTGCCCAGCCATCGCCCCGAGCTGAGGTGGGGAATGCCAGCGGCCACAGCCAGCAGCCAGATGGAGCTGGAGGGCTCAGACACTGCAGCTGCTCGGGTGACAGCCCTGCAGCGTCCCGTGGGCTGCAGCCCCCAGCCCACACACACCCCAGACCCCTGCCACCCTGACACGGTGTCACAGTGTGACAAACACCCGCCCCTCTCCTCACAAAACCCTGTGTCTGAGACTGACGTGGCCTCCTGTCACGGTCAGCTCTCCCCAAACTGCCAACAAAACACACTCAGCATTCCAGTTTCCAAAGGCATAAGAAATCAAGGGACAAAAGCAGCCAAGTCTGTATAAAAATAAAACCCTTTTGTAGATGGAATTTCCTCTTCAAGGTGGGTGCCTGTGAACTTGGATCATGAGTATTTTCTCAAGGACCTTGGCTCTGATCCCTGCAACAACCCAGATTTGGTGGTGGTTTGGTTTCCCTTCACACCAGTCCTCTGGCTGCTGTTTAACCCTCGTGTCACTGCCAGTGCCACCTGCCCATCCTCCATGGCTACGAACTGTCCCCCCTGCAGGACCAGGACCAGGTCAGGTGTGAGAACATCTGGCCAGGGTCACTCCTGCACGATCGTTTATAGGCTTTTTCAGGTGTGACAGACTCTGGGTGTGTATTTGCAACAGAGCCACACAGGCCAGGCCCAGCCCCTCCATGGCCCCTGCTCATCCTGTGCCCTCTTGCTCTGGGCTTGCTGAACGGATTCTGCAGCGTGTCAGAAACAGCTCAGGCAAATTCCTGGGCTGGAAAATAACCACTGGCCTGCCAGGTAATCCTGCAGCCAGATCCCTTCTCTAGTCCAGTCCCCTGCAGTGACATGCCAGCCAGCACAACAGTCCTGACCACCCAGAGCTGACCAGCTCCAAGAACTTCTAAGTTGCTTCTTTCTGGGAAAACATGGCATGAAAGGACCAAGCAAGAAACAGCAGCTTGGCTGTGGCGATTCCTGACTTTGGAACACTTCTAATAGAAAATGATGGCATTCCAACAGAAACAGCTGTTTTTGATAAAGCGTTAGGCAATTCCTTTCTCTCTCACTTCCTTGTCCTTCTTGCTACTTTTCTAGTTCACTGAAGAACCACACTTTGTTCAAGATATTTCCTGCAGGGGAGGAGTGTGAGGAAAGCTGTGGAAAAGTCTCAAGCCATGACATTTCCATCCTTACAGGAGTGGCTGAAAGCACTGGGCACCCATCCCCTACCTGCATGCTCTCGGTATGAAATCCAGATTAAAGCAATCCCACTGCTAGCAGCAGTCACTCACCTTACTTTACCAAGACTCCCATTAATTCAGGAGACACAGCACTGCCCGACAGAGCTGTGGTGTCTGCCTGCATCCCTGCAAGCCCCAGGTGTGCCTACTGAGAGCTTGCAGCTTGGGAACAGCCTGGGTCTGTATGCCAGAACGTGTGCTGACTTAATTCCTGCCAGTGGACATCACTCTTGAAAATAAATATTTAAAATTCTAAGCAGAACCAATCATAGTCCAAGATTAGATGCTAACATCATTGTGGTTATTTTCCTCCAGGACAGTTCATTCCAAGGGAGAGTGAGTGGAGCCTTATAAAGCTCTGATCACGCCATAACAAATGGCAATGCCACGGCTGCAGCTCCCTGGAAGAGCAGGTAGACACTGCTGGCTCCTATGGGAGGTAATAGCCAGATCATGCAGAATCTCCAAAATCTATTCTGCATTTCTGTAGCCTATAAAGTACATTCAAATATTTTGCTGTTCATAAAAATGACATGCTTGTTTAGTGTTTGGATACTTAATTTGGATACTCCAGATCAGATGACCACTGTACTGGAAAGCATTTACAAATGACGTTATCGCCTACATGTTTCACTGTTTAAACTGGATTTGCAGAGGGAAAAACAGTATTGTGACCCTGAGAAAGTCTAGCATCTCCCTGTCATGCAGAGGAGGTTGGCTCAGCAGTGCATCACTTCTCTGAAAGGCAGTATCAAGAGAATGCAGTGTCCAGAGGGCCCAATCCTGCACTGAGGTCCCAGATGTCATCGGCTCCCTGTGCACAGCACAGCCTGCAGCCAGCGCCAGGGCTGCCCTGGAGGGGCACACCAAGGGCTGCCCCTGCTTCCCTGGGCACTGGGGTGCTTTTGAGCCCTCGTGTCCTACCCTGACCAGCCCATGGGCACTGCAGGAAGCACAATCAAACACAGCAGCTGATCTTGGCAGCACAACCCAAGGGGTTCCCACCATAGGCCTCCTCCTCTCCATACTCATTTCCAAATCCATTATGATTTATTTATGAATTTACCTAATTGCATTTTGGTTTTAATCCACCTCTGGCAGGTGTCCATCATGAAACAGAGTCCTCAAGGGAAAAACATCCCTGGGTGATTCCAGCCAGCCACCTGTGTTCCAGCTCAGAGCTCGGCACGGCTGCCTCCCCTGCAACCCGAGCGTGCTTTGGGGAACGCTTCCCTCAGGGAAAACATCTCTAAAAAGGGAAATGATGCCATCCCACAGGAGGGTGACCTGTGGTGATGTGAGCTCTGAGAATAGTGACAGTAGCAGCGGGAAATGCTGGCTGCCAGATGACCCTCCACACTCCTCCCAGCTCACCCCTTCTGAGCAGCAGCTTGTCAGTCAGGGATGCAGCTAAGGAAAAGGAATTCATTTCCCTTGGAAAGAGAGTTAATCCCTGTTAGTGCAGATGCACAGGCAGAAGGAACAGTTACAAATACAGTCAGCTGCATAAAACGGAGATCCTTCTTCCTCCTCCCAGTGTGCTCCCTGACTCAGGGACCAGACCCACAGCCTGAGACCAGTAGGAGACAGCAGCCTTGTGCCCTCACACCCATGTCCAGCACACACCAGGGTGACAGCAGGGCAGCCTGGCTGCTCAGCCTCCCCCACCAGACCTAACCAGGGCTGCCAAGCACCTGCTCTCAGGCTGTGCCCATGGGCTGGGATCTGTGTTCTCAGGCTGTGCTCTCAGGCTGTGCTCCATGCTCTCAGGCTGTGCTCTCAGGCTGTGCTCCATGCTCTCAGGCTGTGTTCCATGCTCTCAGGCTGTGCTCCATGCTCTCAGGCTGTGCTCTCAGGCTGTGCCCACGGGCTGAGCCCCAAGCTCATGGCAGCAGGCAGCAGGTCCCTGGCTCCCTGCCCACGCTGCCGCAGCACCGATAAGGTGCCGAAAACACTGTCAGGCCTTTCAGATAAGAAAGATTTGGAGCAAGGGAGAGCAGCAGCTCGAGAGCACCAACACTTGTCAGGGTTGTAGCGAGGGTGATAAGCCAGGTGCGGGAGGCCAGCAGGGGAGCGTGGGCACCGTGTGCCCAGAGCCAGGGAGGCCGAATCATCCTCACTCCAGCAGCTGCAGCTCTGCACCTCTCCCCAGTGCTCAGTGCCCCCACCATGTTAAGGCCTTCTGGGCACACACTAACAGCTTCCTGGCTTCCTCCTGCTGCTGCCGTGATCTTTCCTAAATGTTTCCATTTCCTTCTGCAAGGGAGGGTCAGAAGCAGAGTGGCAGCCTGAACTTCCTGTACAATCACTCTGTCACTCCTCGCTCTTACCGTCACAAATTTACAGCATTACCAGCACAAGTGAAACCGGCATTATTTGCTTTCACAAGAAAAGGATTTCATATCTAGAAAACATAATAAATGATAGCGCTTGTGAGAATAAGCTCCACCACCCAGCTCCTACCTCCAGCCTGTCTGTCCTCATCAGCTTCTGGGCAGCGGCGGCAGCGGCGGCAGGAACCGGCACGCCAGGGTTTCCTGTCACCAGCATGGGGGCCGTGGGCAGGATCTCGGCGGGGACCAGGCCCGGGGAGACGGGCCCCAGGTAGGGGTTGAAGGCGGCTGACGCGTTGGTGGCTAAGCTCGGTGCGACGGAAAACATCGGCTGCAATTGGAGACGGGGAAAGAGACACTTAACGTCTGTGCTTGCCGTGCCATCACCAAAACAACTCTCTGGCCATCCCCTAAGCTGAACGAGGTGAGTTACTGCTGCTAACTGGAAAGGAGCACTTGTTGTGTTTGTGGGCCATGAGGAACACCCGTGCAGCTGCTGCACGTGAGCAAGAGCACGGACAGGTATCCCCACCTGCCTCTGCTGGTTCTCCTGCTCCAGCTTCCCTGCAAGCTCACAGCACGTGGCAGCTCCTGGAGCAAAATCCCAGTGGATCCACACTCCAGCAATGCCATAAGGAATGATAGACACTCTGTAGGGTCACAGAGAGTCTGGGGCTACCACAGGGACATGGCCACAGCAGGTACAACACTGGCTCTTGAGGAAAAGACATTTGGGAGCCCTGACAAAACATCAACCACACTTGACTTCAGGCACTGGCAAAGCTTTTCTGACCCTGGTGCAGCTAGAGCTGCCTCAGGAACTCCTGGGGTTTCACACAGTCACAGTCCTGCTGTGTCCTACAGAATTCAACAGGCTGGCCATGCAGATACTCAGACACTCACTGCACTGCATCAGGGAGATGCATTAATTAGGCCAAAACATTAAACCAGTGGAAGAAGGAGCACATGCAAATATAATTTTCTTTTGTTTGTTTGTGTGTTTTCTAAAAAGAGTCAAGTGCCCTTGTGGGTGTGAAGATGATTGTGTGTAGAGCCCAAATAATGCTGTGAAAACCCAGCACAGAGCTGCTACACTGCGGCAAGGATTAAGTAAGTCTCCTGCCCCCAAATGCAGCATAACTGCCGAATAAAATTCGGCTAGGAGTATTTATCTTTCACTATCTAAATAAAGCAGTTACTCAAGGCATTTAGGTTTTTTCCCCAACTAATTTCTAGAGGGAAAAACAACTACAGAGTTAACAAAACTCTTTCTCTGTTTCATATCAATTTAAGGCAGACAGCAGAGAACAGCACATGTTTCTATATTCCTGAGGAAATGACTGAATTGTTTGGAAGCAAGAGACATTGGAAATAATGAACAAAAACATGCAGGGATTACTGGACAAAACAGAATGAGAGTTGCATAAATGGGTATAATTTCTGTAATGAATGATTCTTCATCCATGTGAATGAAAAACAATCTGGCAAATATTACAGAAAGTTAAATATTACTCTTAAATACACTATTAATTAACTGCACTTTTGATTACTGGGTTATCAGCTACGCAATAATGAACTTTAAAATAGAACCAGTCTGTTAGTGTGTAACTTAAGAGATGCTGATGTTTGATTTCAGCCCGATACACTCTAATAGACACCTGTGTGTCTGCTGTACAACAAATAAGACTACCAGATTTATTTTCTACTGTGCTTATTTTATAGCAATATAAATATCCTGCAGCCTTTTGACCACTGCAGAATAGCAGCACGTTATCAGAGCCACCTGGCACTGCTCTGAAGCTCACAGGTACATCATGATGTGCTGCACAGCTCCAAGTGGGGACAGCCCCCTGTCCTACAGCCCCATCAACACACGGCCACTGTGGCCAGGGCCCAGAGCCACCTCAGCTCTCTGCTGCTGGCTGGGCTCATACTGACTGATGCACTAGCCATGGCCAAGCTGAGCCTAACTCCCCCTAAACCAAAGCTCAATTCTGGCAAGCAGTTCTCTGGGAAAGTTCCTTTGAATGAAGGGAAAAGACCCAGTGGGCATCTTCTCAAAGCCAGGAGTTTCCTAGAGCACACGATAACTGCAAAGGAAATGGAAATCTCACACAGATCACTCGCTTTCCAAACTTTGAGAATTAAGTTGCAAAAGATAAATTAACCCAAGATTACTGAAATTAATATAAAAATATTACTTCAGGCAAGGCAGAATTAAGCAACACAAAGACATACAGAGGGGCATTTCAGTGCAGTTGATTCCTCTCCCATTCCCGACCTCTGTGGGATTTCCCTGGTGTGGAAGTGCCTGCACTCAGCCCCAGGGGCTGAGGGAACCCTGGAGTGCACGTACCACGGGCTGCAGCGGGGCTCCGGGCATCATGGCATTGGCGAGCTGCATCTGCTGGGCCAGCATGGCCATGTTCTTCTGCTGGATCAGGTTATTCCGGCCATTGATCTCCAGCTGCGTTTTTAAGTGTGGTGGTGGGTGAAGATATTTGCAGTTTTCCCTTGAACAGCGACCCTGAAGAAGAGAATGGGCACAGCAGGATTAGAAGCTGCATCTCTGTTCCTCATGCCATGGGCTAAAGCAAACACAAGCAGACACATTCACCAGATACCTGGAAAATGAGCAAAATGTAACAGTCAGAGCCAATTACTGCCAACATGAACTACAACATGTGCTGCTGGAATCAGAGGAGCAGTTGACCAACCTGATTCTGAAGTCCAGATTAAACTCAATGTCCTTATTTCAGTGCTGGGGTTTAGGCTGTTCCACAACTCTCTGGATGAGATCCAAAGCCTGGCAGTACATGCTGTACACCCCAACCACTTAATGTACTTCATACACTCAAATGCTTTAAAGCCATAAAAAAATCATTCCTGTGATCTAATGCAATGTCCTCCGGCTCCCAGGAAACAAGGAGCCTCGCTGCTTCCCCATTTCTATCCACCTAGGAGATGGTCTTTAAGGAAAGCTATTTACTCAAAGACTACCAGGATATACCACAGCCCTGGGTAAATTGTGCTTATGCTTAGCTATCACTAGCTACTATCAAAACATTTACATCCTCCTTGTTTGCAGGTAGCTCTGGAGCCCAGGGCACCTTTAACCTTCAATCTTTTTTAATTTACAGATCTTAGTGAATTTCCCAAAAGAAATGCAGACTTGTCTGTCTGGGAGCAGGGTTTCTTGTCTCGCTTTTATCCCATGGGCCTTTACAAATGGTCCACAGAGTGCCCAGGAGCTGGAAACCGCAGGCTGGGAACCACTGCCACGGATCTCAACAGAACACGGGCACCATTCATCCCTCCACCCTACAGCGAGCAGCTCCTAATTACCCTGTCACTGGATCCTGCTAACTGTGGTCACAGAGTTCAAGGCAGATTTTCATCTCTCTGAACCTTTTCTGAACTCTCTTCCAATCATTACAAAAGGATATTATAAGTGAGTAAATTCAGAGGCAGCGGTGGCTGCTGCAGAGTCCTGATGGGCCACAGCAGCACACCAGGGGATGAACCGATCCTGCTGGACTAAAGCTCAGGACAGGTGCTCCCGAGGCTGCCAGCACACCCCTCAGCAGAGGCCCTGGAGCAGTGGGGTGAGGGGCAGAGGGCCAGCAGGTCCCTCGGTGTCCCAGCCCCTCTCCCATGGTGCCAGCCCCTCGGCCATCGGACAGCACCGCGTCTGCAGCAGCTGTCACACAAACTCTTCACTCCTATTGCAAGCATGGCAGCAAGCACACATTTACTTTGCTCTCATTGCAGCAGTAAATCTTTTAATCTCATGCTGCCTCTCCATTTCTTTTTTTGGTACTTAATACGCAGATTTATTTCCTACTCTGTATAGTTCACTTTCACTGTCAAAATGAAGAAATGCCATGCACTCCAGATGGGAGCAGGATGTGCCTGACCTTGCTGTGCTCAGCCTCCTGTGACACCTCACTGGGTGCAGCACAGGGCTCAGCATGGTCTGGTGATCAGGAGTTGGATTGGGAGGATCTCTCACCTTGCCCTCAGGGAAGCAGGAACATGTGCCCGTCCCCAGGCACCTTCCCACAGGGCAGAAGCATCCCCAGCTCCACACCACGGCTTTACTCCCCACAAAGCACAAGGCACTTTGTGTGAACATTTGCACAATTGTGGAAAGTATGGAAAACTCAGACAAAAAAAAAAAAAAAAGACCAATCATGCCTTGGAAAAATCACTCCTAAAATCCTACATTCCGAAAATACAGGTAATTCCTAGAAGATTTGGATCCTCTGACAGGCATGCTGGAGCATGACAGTACGCCTGGGCTTTTCAGACCTGCACACAGGTGAACAGGAGTGTGCCCGTTTCTGTGTGGTCACCACCAGGCTCTTCCCCACACCACAAATTTTCTGGGAAGCACAGCACACCCTGCTTTTAACATCCCGCACTGAATGTTGGGAATACAACTGCAATTTTTGCTCCCTGATAATAATCTCCTTCCAGAAAACACCATGACTGCACATTTAATAACACAAAAGCTTTCTTGGGATCCCCTCCTGAGACTGCAAGCTCCTTTACTCACTGAGTCTGTGATTCTGTAATTTTAAATAGCTATTCATGGTCAGACCCACAACCCTCTAACATTTAACAGGCTACCTCCTAAAGAGAAAAGGAAAATCTCCTTGTGGCCAACAGAGCCTCCAGTGAGTGCTGCACATCCCAGCTGCCCTGCGTGAACACCCATCACTATGGGCGATAGTTAACTATAATTAACAATTATTAATGACTGTCAGGATTTTCAGGCCCTCAGCCAGCTGTGGGTGTCCCGAGGGTGCTGCTGGAGCTGCGGCCGTGCTCCCCCAGCCGGGGGCTCTGCCTGGGGCTGCCTCCCCGTGCTGAGGGTGCCAAAGCTGCAGGAGCAGCTCAGCAGTGCAGCTGGAACACACAGAACCCTTCTGATCCAAAACAAACACCCAAACACCTCCCTCTGTCAGGGACTACAAATTCCTCCTGACCCGGCGCGTTTGAACCCGAGCAGGAGGATGGCTGCTACATACCATCAACTATTGCCTGTAAATGGTAAAACTATTTATCCTCATGCCCGTGTGTTTTACAGGAAAACATTTAACTCCATGCAAGCTACGGTTTCCTCTTTAATAATAAACTGTTTGCAAGTGCTTTGTGTTGGGGCTGCCCACCACGTTCAGAGAAACCCTTGCAATGTTACAGGGCCTGCCTTGAAACACGCGGGCCCTGAGGCAGCAGAGGCAGGGCTGCAATCGCTGAGCCTCTACACAAGGTGAAGCACAGCCTGTTCAGACAGCCCAACACCTGCTGAGGGGTCACTGCACCCCGCTTCTGCCTGTTCAGACAGCCCAACACCTGCTGAGGGGTCACTGCACCCCGCTTCTGCCTGTTCAGACAGCCCAACACCTGCTGAGGGGTCACTGCACCCCGCTTCTGCCTGTTCAGACAGCCCAACACCTGCTGAGGGGTCACTGCACCCCGCTTCTGCCTGTTCAGACAGCCCAACACCTGCTGGGGGGTCACTGCACCCCGCTTCTGCCACTGCCTGATGCTGTGGGACCACAGCTGGGGGCAGTGCTCACCCTCCGGGCCCTGCAGCTCCCCCAGCTCACAGCCTGCCATGGAGGGGCTGTGGTTGTGAACAGCTCACAGCCTGCCATGGAGGGGCTGTGGTTGTGAACAGTTCACAGCCTGCCATGGAGGGGCTGTGGTTGTGAACAGTTCACAGCCTGCCATGGAGGGGCTGTGGTTGTGAACAGCTCACAGCCTGCCATGGAGGGGCTGTGGTTGTGAACAGTTCCCAAACAGCTCGGAGCAAGCAGAATTGCAGCTGGGGGAAAACGCACATCTCCAGGGCAAGGAAGGGAGGGCATCCCCCTGCCTCAGCTCCCTCCAGGGCACAGCGATACTGATGGCAGCGAGCTGCAGACACTTTCCTAAGCGAATCCTTTCATGTGAAAACACACCAAAGTGACCAGTTAATGACGTCTTTGTGTGTGATTCTCGTACATAAAAGCCTCAGCCCCTCTAATGGATCATTTGGCTTGCACAGCTAATAGCACTCCTACGGGAGCTGTCCTACTGCCATGAAATACAACAGGATTTAAAAAAAGAAAGAAAAAAGCAAACAGAGCAAGCAGACTGCCAGCACAAAACAGAAGGAAAGACACCAGCTCAGCAGCAAAACCCTCCCTGCTGCTCCTGCTGTCTGTGGGTCCCTCCTCCTCCTCAGCCCCGAGGAAGCACAGAATGATCCCCAGTGCCACAACAGTGGCATGAGGACAGGGACAGGGATGCAGATAGGGACATTCAAACCTGTGCCACTTTTCTTTGTACAGTGATGTCAACTGAGCACCCATCCAGCCCTAGCCACTCTGACCCTGGGTAAGGCGGCTGCTGGGACATCCCCAAATGACCCCAATTCTCATTTCATAACAGCATTTAGCAAGTGCATCAACCTCGTATGGACATACAAGTAATTATATAAATTCTTTAACTTTTATACACGTTATTTATATTTATGTATTTAAACATTTATATGTTTTTAAAATTTATATAAATATTCAATAGAATTTGTGGCTGATCTTGGTATTACTACAAATGTTTGTATACCCCCATGTCTGTATAGACACAACATATACGTACCAATCCATCAGTATTTATGTTGACACTCCCAGGACACACAAACTCTGCAGCCCGAGATGGAGCAACACTTTATTGCCTCCCAAGCACCCCTCCTCCTGCCCCCAGGCAGTGCTGTGCCCCAGGACACCAGAGAATTACATTTTTCCAGGTGGGTACAGAGAGAGCAGCCTCCCCCCAGCCCAGGGGGCTATGTCCCCCCAGGCACGGGGGTCACAGCACCCTTGGGAACCACGAGCTCTGCCCAGAGAGAGCTCCAGCTGCTCCTTGAACTTCCAATGCTGCCAAATCCTTCCAGAGAAATCTCTGGCAATCCATACGATCCCCACTCAGGCACGTAAAAACCCACAATTTAAGGGGAGAATGAATGGCTTTATGCATCAAGTAAAACACACAAGAGATTTAATCTGTTTATTGGTGCCCAGCAAGTGGGAATCAGAACAGATGGAACAGAACAGTGGGATGCTGAGCAGGTACGGGATTGCTCTGGTCACACTCCTGCTCACAGCTGTAATCCCCTGACAGTGACACCACAGGCACGACACAGAGCACTACACAGAGCCTTCTCAAGAGGCTTGCCCTGGAACAGACAAAGCAAATAAGCAGCAGGAGAGGGGTGAGGCACCACCACTGTGCTGAACCCTCTGCAGAGAGCTCGGGAATGAGCGCATCACGGGCACCCAGAGCACAGGGACCGCAGCCTGGGCACCCCTGACAGCTGCCTTTGGCTCCCAGAGATGCCCACAGCCACAGCCTGGCACCCCCCTGCCCCATCAGACAAGACACATAGCCCTTCTGACAGCACCCACATTCCCCACCTGCAGCTGCATGTGGCCAGGGCCAGAGCCACCCCTTCCAGATGTGTACAAGGGCTTGGGGTAC